GGGAACGCTGTTTTGTGTTCATGTCTCAGGCATCTTCCGTCTGTGTCTAGACCCCAGATGCCCCGGGTCCATGGAGCCAAGCCTTCCCGGTGGCTCTCCTGCCCAATCGTAGGTTATGCGGCCTCTTTCGTCTTTGTTCTGACTATAAATCCCACTGCTGTGTGGCTTGGAACCGTGATATTTCCCTTTCCTTTGAAAAATGTCCCCAATTTGCCATCATGCTCTAGGGCGGGTGTGAAGGGACTGGGATGGCTCATGTCTCTCAAGGCCACCTGACAAAGTGCTTCTAGAAAGCTCACGGGTAGGCCAGGCCACAGGACAGACATGTGCGGCTTCCCCCGCAGCCCGCCCACACTGGGCGTCCAGCGCTCTGCTTTCCCCTGGGTGACAGGGTGTGGGCGGCGGTGCCGGGTCGTTCGGGCCCCTCACCACATCGCCACGTTTTCAAAGTCCTGGGCTTCGGGAGTCTTCAAGCGGTGAATGTACCCCCAAAGAATTGAAAACGATTGTTCAAACAAACCCATGTGCCCAAGGTCACAAGAGCTCTGTCCACGACAGCCAGAAGGTTGTCCTTGGAGGACGCGGGGATAAGCAGGCCGCAGCGCACTCACGCAGGGGAATACGACTCGGCTGCAAGAAGGAGCGCAGCCCGACACCCGCTGCCCCATGGACGTGCCTGGAGGTGGCAGGGGCCAAAACCTCGTGTGATTGCATCTCTACGACACGGGCAGAACGGGCACATCCTGAGATGGGGCAGGGGTGACTGATGATGCGGACCGTTTCCATCAGGGGGCTGAGAAAGTTCTGGAACCAGACACAAGGGGATCAGTCTGTGTGCCACCGCGTCCACACGGATTAACCGGTCTGCCTGGCCCATACCTGGAGCCTCTCCCAGGCCGCCCGCGCCACGATGTCATCTGCCTCCATAGCTCGGGTCCACACCCTGCAGCTTCACTGAGTCTTCTAAAAACCCCTTAACGTGGACGTATCCACGTTCTGAATATTGTATCCACGTTCTGGGAGCTGGTTCTGCAGGATGGAGGGCCGGGGGGTGACGAAGGGTGAGGGGGCATGGTATCCAGCTCCCAGCCCCCCGCGGCCCCTCTCTGGGTGGATGCCCAGGACAGACCACAGACTGCGCTCGGGAGGACCTCTTGGGAACTGAGGCTGACCAAGAGCCTTCCAATGGGAACGAGGTCAGGGGTCAGGCCACACCAGGAGCTGCACACACACAGTGTCACTCCATCCTCAAACACCCACGAGGGAGGAACCGCCTTTATCCCCAGCTCACACATGGGGAAACTGAGGCACGGTCCATGCAGCCTCCGGTGCTGCGGTCTAGATCTGCCGCCCACGCCACAGACCACCAAAGCCTCGCTTGGCAGAGCCAGGCCACGGAGCAGGGGACATCCTGGGTGACTGGGCCATGATGTCTCAGGCTGCCAGGGGCTGGGCCAAGCCCTCAGGGGGACACAGCTGCCCAGAGCGGAGGCCACACATAGTGCCAGCTTCAGGCTGGGAACCCGGTCAGTGAGTGGTGTCCCCAGGTGCAGGGTGGACAGGGGAGCATTCGTGGTCCTGAGTGCCCACCTTCTGCCCGGGGAGGGGAGCCCCCAGCCTCTGTCAGCCTCCCTCCTGCCAAGTGCAGGGACGGACATGGAGCCTGGACTGGCAGGCAGCCAGGGGCTGTCGGCTGCAGCCGCGCTCCCCTCCGGCATGTTGGCCCCCACCCGCATCTCCTCATCCCCTCCTGTCATGGGGAAGGGGACCTCCACAGCGGCCCGGGACCTCCCCCTCTGGGCCTCCCTTCCCGGAGCCCAGGTCTCAGGCCCCGTCCACACTCTGCTGGACCAGGAGGAGGGAGTGTGCTCTTCCTCCCTCCTGCCCGGGGTGGGGAGCAGTCTTCCCTCTTCCCCGGTGGCACCTGCTGGGACTGGGACATGGGATCTGCCAGGCTCAGGGCTGTCCGAGACCCTTCAGCTCCTCCGGTGATTAAAATGTTCCGCGGCTCCGGGAGACGGGCGGGGAAGCGCCAGGAGCCTGAACACTTCCTTGAGTTGTCGCGGCAGGTGGGAGAGCAGAGGGCGCACTGCGGTCTGAGGGGCCGGATGGCTGAGTCTGCTCCCCTGGCTCCCCTCACGGCTGTGTGACCTGGGCCCCTCGGGGTGGCTGGAGTCTGTGAAGCTGGGCAACCTCGGGAGGCACAAAGCAGGCCTGAGGCGGGCTGGGCTCCTTGCCAGGCCCACCCAGTCCTGGTGCCCACAGGGGGCCTGGGAGATGGGCGTGGCATGGATCACACTCGTTCTGGACTGGCCACTGTGTGCAAGCCCCATCTGGGGCTGGGGTCACAGGCCTTCCATAAAGACTGGTGGAGTGCTGATGTGCCTCCCCTGGGCTGCCCAGTGTCCGGGGCACTCTTCTGCAGAGCTGGGGTCAGGGGCTCTGCAGCCACCACCAGGCTGGCCCGAGGCCAGGTGCCCACAACACCTCAGGTGCCTCAACAGGCATCTGAGAGCCCGAGGTGAGGCCAGGTGCCCGTGGGATGCCTGCTGAGAGCCCGAGATGAGGGGCCAGGTGCCCGCGGGATGCCTGCCGGGAGCCCACGGTGAGGCCAGGTGCCCACGGGATGCCTGCTGAGAGCCCGAGGTGAGGGGCCAGGTGCCCGCGGGATGCCTGCTGGGAGCCAAAGGTGAGGGGCCAGGGCAGTGTCTGGCCATCCTCCAGGCCCCACCGGTCCCCCTCCCTGTGGGTGGCTTCCCAGAAATGCCAGGGCCTGCAACCTTTCTGTGTCGCCTCTCCTGCTGGGCTCCTGGAGCTGAGGCTGAGCCAGCAGACTGCCCCCTCCCGCTGTGCTGGCCGTGACTCAGTGTCCCTCTGTGCAAAGGGAGAGTAGCAGCCTGGGGTCATGTACAGGTACAAGCCCCAGGGAACTCTTGGGGGGGGCATCGTTACTCAGCCATCCCCTCCCCTGCCTCCCCCTGCCTCAGCTCACTCTAGGGATCAGGGCCCCCGGCTACAGGCCCAGGCCAGGCCACCCACAGGCGGGATTCATGAGAGGGACCAACCCCAGAGGCAGAGGCGCTTGAGGAGGTGTCCTCCAGAGCGGCCTTGGGAGGAACGGAGCTCCCTGTCCCTGGGAATGTGCAAGCACAGTCTGGAGGGAGTGTTGGGGGGCCTCAGAGCCTCCCTGACCCCACGGCAGGTCCCAAGCCACTGTCTGAACGCGGCAGGGGAAAGGGCAGTGGGCGAGTACCTCAGTGTGTCCCAAGACTCAATTTTCTCGTCCCAAATGCAATTTGGAAACAAATCCAATAAGCCTGCATATCACTCAGCTACTGCTTTGAACCCCAACACTGGCAATCGACCTGACTGAGGATTCAAGCCCAGACACCCCGCAAGGCTGGGGGGCGGGAAGGGGCCGGGGGGTGCTGGTCACTCCCAGCACTGGGCACCGGGCGAGCCGTTTATCCACAGCAGCCCCACGCAGCGGATGGCGTAACCCACCTGCGCAGATGAAGAAGGTGTGGGACCACCTGCCCAGCCACGGGGTAGACAAGGACAGGGCCGGACTCCAACCCAGCCATCTTCTGTGGCATGTTCATCTCTGTCTCTGGACTGTGGGCGGGGAGGCAGGGGATCTGCACTGTCCGGGGTGGGGGGCCCAGTGCCCCTGACAGGCACCCAGGCAAGTCCTGTGGACCAGCCTTGCTGTGGGGCCCGGTCATCCCGGAGCACCTGCCTTGGGGGCCATGTCCGGTCACGTCCCCAGGGTCTCCCGAGCTTGGCTCTGGCCCCGTGTTCAGCAAGCTCCCTGGGTCAGCAGGTTCTTGGGGGACACACCCCAGGCAGCTCTGGCCTCGGGGAAAAGACGCTGTGTGGACAGGTGGGGCCGGTGGTCTCCCCTTTGGCCCCATCCTGAGTGGGCCATGTGTGTCCAATGCCATCAGGAGACACAAAGCAGAGAGGCCCCCCTGACCTCTTGCCCTTGAGGACAGGCTCAGGTTCAGTCTCGGTTGGGGAAATCTGGGGCGACTGTCCCTGAGGCCCACATTTATGAAGCACCTACTCTGTGCCAGGGGGTGGAGATGCTGGGCCCCATGGCCCCTGCCATCAGGGCACAGAGGTCAGGCCCCCAGGAGGGGGCACAGCCAGGCCGAGGCTGGTGTATCTGAGGTCTGAGGCTGGTGTGGCCCAAGTCGGATGGGACAGTGGGGGGAGTGGAGGGGTAGGGGCTGTGGAACTGGGGGGCGTGCATATCCTGCAGGTGGACTGTTGGGGGGCTCCCATGGGGCTAGTGAGGGGTGGGGGGGAAAGGCCAGCAGGCCACGGGAGGCAGGGGAGAGGCGGCAGGCCGTGGAGGGAGGAGGCACCCCCGCCCAAGCACAGCCGCTGTCCCGCCCCCTCCCCGTAACATTTTTGCGGCCAATGCTGCCCTCTGCTGGTCATGTTGGGCACTCCCCTGGCGTTTGCCTCGCTGACCAGGATGGGGCCGGGATGAGCTGTGCCCTGGGGACCAGGCGTACTTCCTGCTCCTGCGGCCTCGGCGGTGAGCCTGGACCTGCGTGGCCTTGGGGACACTGTCGGGATATGCGTCCACCTGTGTGGGGAAGACCTGGGTGTCTGGCTCCAAGGTATCCCCCGGAGGCTGAATTCAATCAACTCCCCCTCAAAGCCAAGTCCACCCCCTGCGTGTCCAGGGGAACTTCCCACTGGGACAAGTAGGACAGCAGGGGACAACGGGGCCTGGCTTCAGGCCACAGTCCCAGGTGCAATTCTGGGCAGACGCCACACGTGGGCCAGCATGGGTGGGGTGGGGGCCTGCCTGGCCCTTTAAGAGAGCTGCTAGGGGAGGGGCCCTGTTGCCCAGCAACAGGACGGCTTGTGTGTACCTGTCTCCGGGAGACCAGAAGTGTCCTGCTGGGCACAGAGTGGCCCGGAGCTGCCCTGCTGACCTCCTTCCTCCCTCGAGCCCCCCCGGGGGAGCGGGTTTGGCTGGCACCATGGCGCAGACGGACATGCTCTTGACCCAGCAGCTGGCCCCGCAGACGGTACCAGCCTGCGAGCTGCCCCGCAAGCTGTACGACGTGGCCCGGAACACGGGCGCCTACACGTCCTCGGGCCTGGCCACCGCTGGCTTCCGCTCGGCCAGGTACCTGGTGGACGAGTGGTTCCAGAACTGCTATGCCCGCTACCACCAAGCCTTCGCCGACCGCGACCGCTCGGAGGGGCAGCGCCACGAGAGCCGGCAGCTGGTGGCCGCGACGGAGGCCCTGGCACAGTGCACGCAGGAGGATTCCACCGGGAAGGTGGGCGCGCGCCTGCAGGACATGCACTGCGGGAAGTCGGAGCTGCAGCACGAGGTGAGTGAGCTGAGTGCCGAGACCGACCTGCTGCTGGCCCAGAAGCAGCGGCTGGAGCGCACCCTGGACGCCACCGCCGTGCCCTTCTCCATCACCACCGATAACCTGCAGTGCCGCGAGCGCCGCCAGCACCCCGACCTCGTCCGCGACCACGTGGAGATGGAGCTGCTGAAGGTGCGTGGCCCCTTCCGCCCCGAGAGCCGCAGGCCCGGCCGCCCTCCCCACTCTCCAGGGAGCGAGGCCTGCCCAGGGCCGAGGGCCGCGGGTTCACACATGTGCCCCCATGACGCGGGCTGACACTGGGTGGGCGCACGCGGGCGCGGGAAGCCCGTGCCCCCCTGCACACACAGGAATAGGCAGAACATGTAACCCTTGGCGCGTGCAGACATGTGTAGAGCGCACGCCCAGGTCCACACCCAGGCACAGAGATGCTGGCTCTGTTTGTAGGTTGGGGACCAACAAGGTGCTGGGGCAGTGGGGTCAGTGCTCAGGCCATCCAGGACGGAGGTGCCATCCCTGACCCCAGAAGGGTGCCCGGTCTGAACTTCCTGGAGCCCGGTCCTCACAGTGGACCCTGGGTGAGGCTCAGCTCCTTGCAAGGTGGGCCCCAGCTTGGACCTGCTCGTTTGGGGACACCATGGCCTGGGGGCAGGTCCTAGTGTAAGGGTTTGAGAAGGTATGGAGGCTGGAGCTGGACCTCACATCAGCTCACCCCAATCCCATGTCCAGGGCCCCTGCAGGGCCCCCACCCCCATTATGGCTCATCCTGGGGTAAGGGTGACAGAAGTCACACCTGGACGTGTGTTGGGGACATTTGCCTGAGGATGGGACACTCAGAGGCCACTGAGGCAGCGAGGGGTCTGGCCAGGTCCATCTGCAAGCCCTGATGCTCCTCCACACACACCCCAAGGATGGGGAGGGGCCTGAGTTGAGTCCTGTGGGTGGCTGCCTGAGGTCTGGGAGGCAGGCAGGGCCAGGGTCCTGGGTCCCTTGGGTCCTGGCACCTGCTGGGCAGCCCCTCAGTTCACCCTAGGTCATTCAGATTAAGCCTGACCCTGAGCTCTTGAAGGCCTCGCACACCATTGCACTCCCTTCCCTGATGCCTGTGGTGGAAATCCAGGCCCAGTCCAGTATTTAAGTGTGGATGGGTGAGGGTGGGATGGAGGCCATGGTCATACTACAAGGAGTCTTTCCCATTCCATGCTCAGTGGGACCTGTCCTTGGGGCAGCCCCACAAGGATCAGGTAGTTGCCCAGGCCAGTCCCCTGCTCCAGGCACCTCTCAGAGCCTGGGGGGGGGGTTGCTTACCTGTGAACTGCAGGGTGTGGGCATTCCTGGGAGATGCAGGGCACCCCCTGCACACTCCAAGCTCAGCCCAGAACATTGAATCCCTCCCCTCTCCCAGGCCCCAACCCCCTCCTTGGTCCCCCACCACCTCACCCCCACACTCAGCTGCTCAACAACCTCCCAGGGCTCTGGCTGCAACGCCCCTGCCCTGAGCCAAGAAACTTACCCCCTCCCCCCACACCTCCCAATGTGAAAACACCAATGGTCCAGGGACAGGGAGACAGACCCAGGGGACAGACCCTGACATACGTGGGTTTAGAGCCAGACAGAGGCCAAAATCCAAATGGGGGGAGGGGGACTGTGCACAGAAAACAGAGCCATTGTAGTAGCAGAAAGACACACAGGGTCCCCCTTGAATGCTCAGTGGAGGAGTGAGGGCCTCTCTGAGCCCAAGGCCCCGAGGGGCAGGCCGGGAGGGCCCCTCGTTCCTAGGGTGTTGTTGGCCACCAGTGCTCGGGGCGGGAGGGCTGCAGGGATGGCCCCTAGAGCCCAGGGGCTGCTGGGTGGGTGCCAGGTGAGCGGGAGCTGCCTCTGGTGACAGTCCCAGCAGCTGGTAGAAGCCTCCAGGATAAAACCCCACGCTCTGCTACACCAAACAGAATGTTCAAAAGCCCAGAATAAACCCAATGAGAAAGAGCTGGGCTCATCCCTCGTCTTCCAGGAAAGAGACGGGAGGTCAACAAGCTGGCTTTCTGGCCCGAGGTTACCCAGCCAGGGGTCAGGTGTTGGCCTGGGCATTTAAGGGGCTGACCATGGGCCCACACCAGCCTGGCCATCCTCAGATCCTCACCAGGGAGTGGGGTCTTCTCCCCCAGGAGGCCGAGCTTATCCGGAACATTCAGGAGCTCCTAAAAAGGACCATAATGCAGGCCGTGAACCAGATCCGGTGGGTCTCAGTGGTCCCACGCCCGCCCCTGTCTCCTTACCCCTTGGGCTGACGCTGGGCAGGAAGTTGGGGTGGGCAGGCCCGGAGTCTCAGAGAGGTGGGGGCTTGTCCCAGGTCTCAGACAGGAGTACAGAACAGGTAGGGGCAACTGGTGGGGGTGCAGACTCCTGCATGGCCTGGGCGTCCAGAACCCAGGTCAGCTTTCCAAGGCAGGGAGCAGGTGCTCCTGGACGCTGTTGGCCAGGCAGAGCCTGGGTGGCCTGAGGACCCCCGTACTGGGCAGATGAGGTGGCCTGGTTCTCAGTGGAGAATGGGGGGTGTGCTTGCTCCTGGGGGTGGCACCCAGTGCCCCACCCCAAACGCAGATCCCGCCCACCCCAGGCTGAACCGTGAGCACAAGGAAACGTGTGAGATGGACTGGTCTGACAAGGTGGAGGCCTACAGCATCGACCAGACCTGCGCCCTCTACCACAACCAGAGCACGGAGGTGCAGTTCTACCCGCACACTGCCAAGTTCGAGGAGAGGTGAGCCACCTCAGCCCCAGCCCCTCCCAGGGACCCTCCCCCAAACACCTGTCTCCACCCCGGCGCCCTCTGCTGGGGACCCTCCCCCAGGTCCCCGGCCCCTGACGCCCTCACACGGAAGGCCCTCGGTGCAGCTCTTCTGCTCCTAGGCTGGGCCGGCCAGCAGGACCCCGCAAGCGCCCAGCCCCGCACAGGTCACCAGGGGCTTGGGGACTGCGGAGGGAGGCAGGACCTGGGGGCTTACCTGCAGCTCCTCGAGCGGCTGGCAGGGGGCGCGCAGCCACCACCCAACGCCGCGCAACCCCGGGGGCGCTAGGGGCGCGAGGGGGGCACCGGGACGCAGGGTCCGGTGTGTGCGGGGGCCGCGGAGCCGCGCTGGGGGTGGTGATTTGTGCTGGAGCGCAGTGGTCTCGGGGAGCGGGGAGCGCGGGAGGGTCGGGTGGGCTGGAGCCGTTGGCGAGTGCCCCGGAGCCGTTGGCGAGTGCCCCCACCGACCGCGGCGCCGGCGGGTCCCTGCCCGCAGCGCCTCCACGCCGGAGACGTGGGCCCGGTTCACCCAGGAAAACCTATACCGCGCGGAGCGCGAGCGCCTGGCCTCGGTCAACCTGCGGGTGCTCATCGACTGCATCCTGCGGGACACGGCCGAGGACCTGCGGCTGCAGTGCGACGCTGTGAACCTGGCCTTCGGGCGCCGCTGTGAGGAGCTGGAGGACGC